CCAGTAGCAAACAATGGAGCGCGCTCTGCTGGACAAACTAAGTAATTACACCATTTCAAGCATTTTATCTGCGTTATATGTTCTGTAAAAAAAAATTTCATATCGGAGGCATAGTCGCCGATACCGATATATCGGCGACAGGCTCATATCGGCTAAACGATATATCGGTCGGGCTCTAGTATCTAATAATGTTACTTAAGTTTTTTTTTAATTCAATTCAAAATTTTTAATTCTTAAGGTTCAAATTCTTTTAGATGTCAAGCAAAGCATCATATGCATTCAAAAAGCAAAAGTCTATTTCTACTTTTGCAGAAAACTAAGCAACTATTCTAGTGGTAACTAGATTTTAATATATTTATATATATATAACTTTCACAGGCACTAGTCCAATATCAGAACTGTATATGGTGTACAGCCCTACTTTTAATTGAATCATCCAAAATTTGCCAAATTGTAAAACATTCCGCGTTATACAGTAAATTCAATTCTTATGATTAGATTTCACTAATCCTTCCATGATTTGTTGAAATCATACATTTGTGTCACTTACTAAAAACTAAATGAGAAATTGGAAAGATGCATGTAGACTATATACCAGGGGTGGCGAACGTCGGTCCTGGAGAGCCGCAGCCCTGCAGAGTTTTGCTTCAACCCTAATCAAACACACCTGAACAAGCTAATCAAGGTCTGAAGGGTTACTAGAAAGCTACAGGCAGGTGAGTTTTAATTAGGGTTGGAGCTGTACTCTGCAGGGCTGCGGCTCTTCAGGACTGGAGTTCGCCACTGCTGCTATATACCATAGAAATGTTCATGACTTAACATTTTACTCATTTCCATACTTTTGCCAGCTTGATTAAAAGACTTTTTGGTGAAAGCACACATTTTTTAGCTGTTTTGTCTGTGCATCGTACCTTCTCATCCTCCTCCTTTGTCCAGGGACCTTTGACGAGATCAGGATCCAAAACTTTGAACCAGCGATGCTGACACTGATGCTCTGATCGACTCTTCAAATAAACAACAACACCAGCTGCCACCGTTAAAGCAGACTACCACAGACATTTAAACGAGGAGACACAAAAGCTCCATTAAACTAAGCAAGGAATTTCTCATGTGAGCTTTCTGAACGCATTATTGAGGTAAACAGACTTACAGGTAAAAAGCCAGCAATGTATTTCCAATCATTTGGTCCAAAGCTCAGCACCAATTTTCGCAGCTTATCATCCTGGAAAATACAAACCAATACATAAATGCGTACAGCATCTTTCATTTTATTTACAAAAAACTAACTGATTGAAGCTGGATGCCCTGCAAAAGAAAAAAAGGGGTGCATTTATTCACATATGAGCACTGATGATTATCATACAAACAGAGGAAGTTTGAGCTGCTGTTTATCATATTTCAAGAGCTCGCTGTATGCGTGTCGATCAGGGTTTATGGGTCTAAATATTGGAATACCATGAAGGGGAGTAAATTATAACAGAAATTAAATTCGGGGTGAATTATTCATTTATCTTTCCAAGTAGTGTAAAGTTGAGATGGAAATTACAGGTTACAGGTGTCTTATGTCTCAGCTTCTTTTTGAGTAGTTTATGGTCTTTTGTTTTTAAGTGTCATAATGTCAAGCAGTTTCTGCACTGATTTTTGATTGTTATGAATAATCTAATCTTTTGTGCCTTAACTTCACATTACATCAGAAAAAAAAAAAAAGTACTATTCATTTGACTTTTCCGGTAACATGCAACATCTATATTTCTGTTAAATTCCAAACAAAACAACTGTGATATATATATATATATATACATATACACACAAAAGAACTTAATTTTTGATTAGTAATATGCATTGCTAAGAACTTCATTTGGACAACTTTAAAGATGATTTTCTCAATATTTTGATGTTTTTGTACCCTCAGATTCCAGATTTTCAAATAGTTGTATCTCGGCCAAATATTGTCCTATCCTAACAAACCATACATCAATGGAAAGCTAATTTATTCAGCTTTCAGATGATGTATAAATCTCAATTTCGAGAAATTGACCCTTATGACTGGTTTTGTGGTCCAGGGTCACATATAAGATTTCGGTGATCATGTTTATAGTAGTACAACGTTACCTCCTCCTGGGTCCACTTCACTTTCACTTTCCCACAATCCTTCTGATCAGCCACATCGGAGTCTGTGTCCTGACACATGGCCTCTTCCTCATCCTCACTGTTCACACACAAACACACATCCGTGTTTAGGGTTGGGGAAAACAACACTGACCACAGATCTGCAAACTCTGGCAACAATGTGCTGATGGTACACTGGCACCATTTGGCAGGGCAGTGTTTTTACATCTGGCCTTGTGTTTGCCAGACAATGTTAATCAAACCAGATGGAAAAACGCACCATCGTGGAAATTAAATAATACTTTCAACCCTCTCAAGGACCAGCAGATGTGGTTAGTGTAATGTAAAGTATCCCCTTTACATACACACTCTCAATCTACTAGCATTTCTGGCTAACAGTCCCAATGCAGGTCATCAACACGTGTACATCTGGATAAAAACTGAGGTATGCATCACATAGAAATGGTCTGGATCAGTTAATAATATTACAGTCTGTCTGTACAATGTTGAAGCTGCACGGGTAAGTTACCGTGAGTTTCAGCTCTCTTTGTGTCTTTATATTAGGCGGGGTTCAATGCATCTTTCACAAACTTAATGCCAACGATCTCTACAAACACAAACATTAATTTAAATGCAGCAGATGTGGTCATTTTCTTGTCTTAAAGTAACATTCTATAATACAACTACACTAAACATATAAGAATAATATACTGTATGCACTTAACTTACCCGCGCGCAAACCACGACATTTCCCTAATGTTTGCTCAAAATGCACCAATTAAACAGAACTTTAGGAGGCCACTGTGCACGCAGCATACAAACATCTGTGATGTTACTCTTCTTCTTCTGTGGGGCTGTGATGTTAATGAGATGATCGAGCAAATATAATAAACACTCGCCAGCTAAACATGTATTGCCGCGCGCCCAAGTTTCTATCTCGCGCTTCTTTCTCTCAGCCATTCCCGCGAGTGACGTCAGCGAACACACGCTGCGTGCGCGCCACACAGACGCAGTACGTGCGCGTTCGTGAACACGTAACAGTAAATTGCACACAAGCGACAAAATATTTCTTATGCATTTTAAACTGGCCAAAACAAATCAAGGAATTCATATCCATATCTATGAGTGTCCACTACAAGTATGGTTAGGTTCCTCATAGAATAGTAAAGAAATACTTCAGGGTGTATAATTTAAGAAATCAGTAATGAGTTTCATTAAGTTGCCTTAAGTTTCGTGAAAGAAAAAAACAAATCCTTCGTGACTTTCTGTGGTGGTAGTTCATGAAACATTGGTTCATTTGGCGCTTTTCACTTTACAAGTCAATAACTCAGACAAAGATGCTGTAGGAACCAGAGAGGAACGACTCGTTAATGACCTAATCAAGCTCAGCTATAAATGCAAGCTGAGTCTAATGAACGCTATGCTTTGCTAATGGATGCAGGACGTGACAGACCTGGTAAAGTCCTAATACGTGTATATAAAAACTAGTTTTACACTGAACCTAACAGAATGTTTTTCATTCTAAACACTGCTTGTTTTCTAGCGCTGACCAGGAGCTATGAGGGCCCATCACTGTCTGACTTTGACAGAGGCTTTTGTGCAGACCAGAGTCTGTCTTTATCAGCGGTTTCAGCCGATGGCTTCCTGAGACCAAACAAAGGCATTGTGCTGGAGTATTCAGAGCCCAACCCTGCGGTTGCACCATGTCTGAACTACTCCACAAGTCTTTTATCACCCTTAGTTGCCCTCAACAAGAACGCCCTCTCTCCAGGCAGCACCCTGAGCACAGCGCTGAGCAGTCCAGTGCAAGGCAAGTCCTCCACACCCTACGAGAGAGTCGTGTTTCAAAAGCCGGTCCTGGCCAGCTCGCTGGACCTGTCCTGTGTTGATCTGACGACCACACACCCATCATGGGAAGTGTCCCTTGTGAAGGCCATAGTTGAGAGCCCAAAATCATGTTTGGAGTCCACATGGAGTCCTATTAACCTATCGGCACAGTCACTGATGTGGTCAGGAACGCCCCCTCACCCAAATGTTTCCGAGGAGCTTCAGTGCTCATGGAAGGAAATGGTCTGGCAGGGATCTAAGCCGGCTTCTGCAATCCCAGACCTCCGAGAGGAACGGAGCTCATCTAACTTGGCCATTTGACCGACACCCTATTTTAGGTATGCAATCCTAATCTTAAAAAAATCTCAACTTGAGAAAGGTTGTTCTAATATGCGTTTTGTTTTTATTTTACAGGCTTCTTGCTGCGATTCTTACTAGAACCCTATCCATGATTATGTAAATGTATTTATAGAATGTGTTTAATCAAAAAATAAAGCGTTGAAATGACTTGCATGCATTAATGTTACAAAGAATCTATCTCTCCGTGTGCTGTGGGCAAGTGTGAGCTTCATAATGCACAACACAATCAATAACATGTTTCAAAGCGTGCAATTATTTTGTCCTCTGAGGAAATGTGGGCAGTGACCATACTGTAAGGTCAATATAACAGAGATCGCTTGTGAAAATACTACTTTTGTGTTCTTTTCTAAATGAATAAATCAGTGCCTGTCTGCTGCTGTTGTCCTGTCCTGGGACTGCACTTTTGGACCCAGGGATGTCCAATCCTGGTACCTGAGGGCCAACGTCAAGCAGATTTGATCTCTAACACACTTGCCTGGGAGTGTGTAGTGAGCCAGTAGACTGTATTAGCTTGATCAGCTGTGTTTAAGGTTTGAGCTGAACTCTGCAGGATAGAGGCCCTCCAGGAACAGGTTTGGACACCCTCTTCTCGAGAGTCACCTGGCATTTAGGTTCAGCTGACTGGCTCGCATCAATCTGGAAATAAAACTGAGCAAACATGGTAGATGGGGGGGAAGTAGCTGCTTTAGGGCAGTAATTCAGCCATAAATTGTCATTTACTCACCCCCATGTTGTTCAAACCACATCGATTTCGGTCTTCCATCAAACACAAAAAGAGAGTTTAAGGCAGAATGTCCATGATGCTCTTTTCTGTAAATGAATGGTCAAATAGAAATGTTTATGTGTGTTCAACTCACTTCATTGAGCTTTTTAAACTCCACCACCTGGAAGAAGACGTGTTCCAGAATGTGCTTGGCATGTCTTTTGTCCTTGTCTAGCTTCCCTGTCACTCCTAGGATGTCTCCACATTTATGCACAAAACTCCAGATCATCATCGGTTCCTTAGAGAAGATGACACATACATTACTAATCAGCAGCCACTCAAACTAGAAACAATGACAGTATTAGAACTGTCTCTGAACGAATGGTAGAAACTCACATTTATTTGAGAGCTGAGCCAGCCTCACTTTCTCAGAAGAAAAGGTCTCATCGAGGTCAAAGAGGTCACGCATGGGTGGGGGAAGGTCCCTAAAGGCCGGCTGAAAGACCTGAACACAAAACAGAGCCTCAGCGAATCAGAGCATCTACAAACAGACCCATCCACAAGAAGGCAATCTATCTGTGAACTACACAGAAAACAGCAGGGAAATCAAAGCAAATAATAATTCAATGATTTGATAGAGCACAGAAAGGATGATGTATTTTTGTAGGCCAAAATCCACAGCTACTGTGCGGTTGGAAAGACTCACGGCGGGCTGCAGCGGAGGCAGAGGCGTTTCAAACTGTGGTGTGATCCGCTGGAGAGCTTCATGTTTGACATTGAGATGCTTGTAAGCACTGAAAACACAGACATGACATTAGTTATTAAAGGGGTCATATGACGTTGCTAAAAAGAACATTATTTTGTGTATTTGGTGTAATGAAATGTGTTTACGCGGTTTAAGGTTCAAAAAACACATTATTTTCCACATACTGTACATTATTGTTGCTCCTCTATGGCCCGCCTTTCTGAACGCGTCGATTTTTACAAAGCTCATCGGTCTGAAAAGCGAGGTGTACCCTGATTGGCCAGCTATCCAGTGCGTTGTGATTGGCCGAATACCTCAAGCGTGTGACGGAAATGTTATGCCCCTTA